TATATTACTAATTTGAACTTTATAATAAAATTTACAAATATTCTAAAATTTTTTATTCAATTCTTAAAGAATTTATTGTGTTCAGTTTAAAAAAATTCGGTTTAAAGAAAGTTAACTATACTATTTTGGCTAAAGATATTGAAATAAATAATGATATAAACAACAATTTTAGATCATAAATTTTGAAAAGATCTTAAAATATTATATGATTTTTTAAAACTTTTTTATTATTTTTATAAAACAATTAGAAAGTGATAAACTATATCTTTCTTCAGTATATAAAATATTACAAGAATTAAAAAATACTATTACAACTAATTTACAAATTTTTAAAGATTTGTATAATAAAACTTTGCAAGCTACTAGAAATCAATAAGTTAATATATTATATAATCTAGCTATTATTGTTGTATATACTCTTGATTTACAGTACCAAGGCAAATATCTTGATTTTAAAAAATAAAAAGATATTATTAATGCTGAAATAATTTAAATTGCAGATATTAATAATGAAAATTAACTACAGTCATATCTGAGTTATATCCCCACTAGGTTATATCCCAACCTGAGTTATATTCCCATATTTAAGCAGAATAAATTTCTTTTTTTTATATGTTTTTATATGTTTTATATATTAAGTTATATCCCTGCCTTAGTTATATACCCAAAAATGCTCTAGAAAAAAGAGGTGATATAACCCAGGTATGACTGTATTAAATAAATTATATGAATATCTTGAAAAATCAGGTAGCTTTGCTAAAAAATATTTGTAAGACAATTTTACTTCAAAACCAATTAATTAGTGAAATTTATTAGCTATGCAATATCTAATTTTAAGCCAAGTTGCAAAAAAAATCCTGCCAATTCTAGCAATATCAGCAGCTAGTAGACACAATTGCTCTGCATCTAGGTTTATTTATTCTAAATTACATAATTGATTGCTTTTTTAAAAAGCAGAAAAACTTGTTTACATATATTAGAATATATGAATTCTTTATCAATTAAAAAGATCTATATTAGTTAAAGATTTACAAAACAATAACATAGAAGTTGATAAAGATTTGGTTCATTTAAATAATCAAAAAGCAAAAAATAATTCAGAAAATGATAAAATTAAAATACCTGACAATGATAATATCACCAATTTTTCTAACAGGCTTATTAATATGTTTAATAATGGTAAGTATGAATTTGATGAAGATTTAATTACTGTTACTTGAAAATTTTTTTTACTTTCATATAATTGTGATTTTAAATTTTTTTTTATTATATAATTGAGTTTAATTATTTTGCTAATTGCAAGATTTTAATTCCATTAAGTTTTTAGCTTAAAGCTTTTTTTTTGTTTGTCAAAAAGTTTAATATCAAAATGTATCGAAAGCTACTTAAAACATATATTGAAAAATAGTTCTCTAAATCGAACATATAATAAGTGCAACAAATGAATTAAACTATCTAATTGCAAAAAAATACAATATAATTATGCTAACAAATATTACATTCCTATAAAATAAACTAAGCGCGAATACTAGTAATAATGCTAGTCAAATCCCATAATGCTGGTACTTTAATATCACATGATAAAATTACATGAAATCTAATTTTCTGAAACTTACGTAAAATTACATGTATTGTAAATTGTAATTTATTTATTAACATCCCTAGAAGTTCCAACTTTAGTCGGATGCCACGACATAGTCAGCAAAATTTATTATTGCATAAACATATTGAGTTTTATTTTGCTTATGTTTTGATTAAATTTTTTTCAATTTTGAACTAAAAGTGCAAAGGTTACATAAAATACATTTCTTAAAATACTAAATAAAAGCAATATAAAATTAACTAGCTTAGGGTCAAATTCTTTTTTTCAATATGAATCCTAAACATTATTATTAAGCAATAATATACTAAAGCTAATATGTGTATGCATGAGTGCGTACGTATTTGGTTAAAACTCATTATATAGAATATTATGCATAAAAAAAACATTTACTGCTAATTTATATGATTTGCTTAAACGCATTCCACCAACTATTTTTAAAAAGATAGTGTATTAGATTATAATATTGTTAAAAATCACGAAACAGGATCATAGAAGAAAAAGAAAATTAATGCAGCATCAACCAAAAACAACTCATCCGTAAAAAAAAAAAAATAATAAAATGAAAAAGTCTTACGTAAAGTCTAGAATTTCATAAAACCATTAGAAAAAAGCAACTATAAAATATAAGAAGTTACTAGTCTCATAAGCCGAACAATAAATAGAATACGCAAATAAAAAGAAATCATAACGGAAAGTTGTATAAATATATTCTTAGTACGTAGTAAGTGGCTTACGCGTAGCTACGAACCCACCATCATTTATTTAGTCGTATCTTTATTTTCACTCACATTCATATAAGCACTACGAAATCTATACCAATCGAAAGACCCAGGTCTAGGTGCGTGATCGGATTTTCGAATGGATAGCATCTGGCCAGAAATGACTATTCCACCTTGATTCAAAGCTTCATTGTAAGATTCCCATTCAGAAAAATAAGCAAAAGCGTGATCCTATTTAATTAACTAAAATTAGTATAAAAGAAGATTACAATTTTTGAACAGGAACAATTGACACTCACTCTATGACGATATTTAGCAACAGCGATCACTTCACCAAACATATCACTCAATGATTTCTTAATGACAGCAGGTGGAATATCTATTTTAAACACCCCGATATAAACTGCAGGAATTTTGATATGGGGAGTACCGTGTTTAGGTTCTTGAGGGATCGATTTACCAACACAAAGATCTAATTTATGACAAAAAAAAAAGGTTATACGAATCACAACAATCTTGTAGAAATTAATAATTTACAAACTTTCTTGTAATTTATCACCCCATTTTGATCCACCAAAGATTTCATTGGTATCTCGCTCCTTTGTACCAGTCTGATGCGTATCGACCTGATGTCTACAAAGTTTTTCCGAAAGCTCTTTTAAAGAATCGACGAAAGCTTGAGAAGGAGCCGGAGGTTTAGGAGGTTCCACAATCTTAAAATTATTAACAGAATCCCTAATATTAGATGTAGAGATGCTTTTCGTAGAATCTTTATCGTCATCACCAACAAATAAATCATCATCAATTTGTTGATAGTTCAAAATTGCATCTCTGGCATCCGCAAGTATAGCTTGAGAGGCGATCAATTGATTCCTCAAGGAAGCATAACCATTACTTTCACGAGCAGAAGTGTGATCATGATTAGATACAACATTATAGAGAATATTTTCATTATAACGAATTGCCTCAGTAAAACTTCTAATTGCATCATTTTGGATAGCATAAAATTGTCTGGTAGCGGTGACGAGAACTTTCTGAAGACGCCTAATTTCTTGATCTTTTTTCTCAAGCAAAGTTAGTTCGTTAGGAAGAACACTTTTCCCTTTATCCATATTTAGAAAAAATTATATGATCTAAATTGCATAATATGATAGGAAATAAATTGATGAAAAAGAAACGAAAGAAACGATTCAAATATTATTGCTTCGTTTAGGTAAGCATGATAAATACCTTAGTTTTATTTAAAACGATACGTAAGTATATTCGAAAAGAGAGTTGAGAATTCCTTTATATATATAACATAATAATATATAAAGTTGACATCATTGCAAATCAAAATCTGTTAGCTTTGAATACGTCAACCTTTTTGAAATGCCGAAATCGAAAATTAATTGTTGCTGACTAATTAACTATTTCTGAATATCTAACCTTTTAAAATTTAAAACGTGTGCAAAAAAATTAACTCAATGAATAAAAATAATATAAAGTAATATAAAAAATATACTCCGTTCCCGTTTTTTCCGAGAGTTTGTTCCGGATATCAAAGGTAATCATTCATTACGACATTAATATTAGATTTATGGAATTTTAGGCTACCTAATTATATCAAAAAGTTTTTTTTTTGGCGCTGCTGATTATTCAGAATAAACTGTTATTAATGACTTAGAAATTTTAGTGCGTAGATGTAATTTCATGATTTTCATAACAATAAATTTATGAGGCGCTT